GGCTATTTGCTAAATTGCAAATTGTGGTAATGGGGTCACTGTGGTCAAGTTTTGTTCTGTACACCATTGATATGAATGGAAGACCCGGTCTAAACATTCTTAGAGGCATGTTCGTTGAGGTAGATACTCTTCAGCGAAGATGGTTGACATTTTTAAACAATAAAATTGTATGTCTAATGTATGTGAACTTGTTTGTCCTATGTAATCAATCGATGAAGTGTCAAACAAACGATATATTCGGCTGTCCAGAACGTTTGAGTAAACGTTCTTGCTTCAACGCGTATATTTGTTGGTTTAGGCCCTTTTCAGAAAACTGGAATCGACTCTTCATTCGTTACTCGTTAAATAAACATTAGAATTGGAATTACAGAGTAAATAGAATGAAAATATTTCAAGGGGATCCGAAAGTAATTATTTATCAGCTCACTGTGTACCAATTGATTTTTATTCATCAGGTATTGAGAATTTGACGATTACATAATTAATTGAAAATAAAAACACGTTATAATTTTTATTTGTTTGAATTTAATGTAAAAGAAACGACATTACTTTCTGGTCCCTCTAATGGAATAAAATATTTAACAATGAATGGGCGAAGATTTAACTGTTCGACTCAAGGTGTTGGTAGGCATTGTGACGAGACTCGCGTGACAATGATCATTCAGCAATTAACGTAATTTTTATGCGTGACGTTTGTCTGTGCGTTTCTGTTGGCCCTTAGTCCTTTGCGAAGTGGTCTAGAATCGGTATTAAAACATTAATAATGTCCCAGGATGTTATGAAAGACCGATTAACATACCTCATGAAGGTGTGCAATTACACCACCAGCAGAGTCAGCATAAAACTTTTTCGAGGAACAGAGTTGTTCATAATATGTGACGTTTACGATTTTCCCTTCCCTATCTTTCGAGTTGCTACATTTCGAAGAATTTAGATCAAGGTGGCTAAACGAATGTTCAGTTGAGGAGCAACGAACGAACCGATCGTTTAGGCAATCGTGTATTCCAAGTGGACATTAGTTGCGTTGTTGGAGTAATTTACACATTTTCGAACGTCTATCCCTGGCAAACTCAGAAGTAATTGGTTTAAGCTCGTACCTTTTTATTTCGTTCAGAAGTATGTTCTAGAAACGAACGGTTCCTTAGCCATGTATTATATGAGCTCTTTAAAACCTAAACTTCTGCTTTTGTGAGTGTCCTAACACTTCAACTATCGCCTTACTTGGAAAGAGTTTAGGATATGACTTTCTATATTAATATATGTATATCAGTATATGAAAAGTCTTGCCTGTTTCCAAAAATTAAGCATTATAAGCAGGCAACCAATGGCACAGTTAACAAATTCCAGGAGGTAAACATTGGAATTAAGAGTCCCATAAATAGGTTCCTAATAGATAGTTTTAACTTTAGCAAAATTTTAAAAAACAGTATTGAAACAACATTTTTAACACCGTCCTCATTTACAAGAAAACAAAGCTATTGAATGATGTATAACACACGGTCAAGGAATTATTTTTAGAATAAAGTTCTGTTCAGAGTGAAACGGTGTACACTTGTACGTCAACCCAATTGATGGACTATCGTCGTTTCCTCTGTTTCGATAATAACCAGTAACAGCGCTTGCAGAGATCGGATAAGGCAAATTGACATTGCATAAAGTGAAAGGAAGAGCAACGTCCGTCCTAAGATCCTAAGATCTCTATGAACTTTCTAGACGTTCTTGAAAAACTCTAAGATAGACTGTGTTCATAATGAAAAAGAAATATTTTTTCATTCATTTCTGTCCCTGCAAATATATATATTAGGTTGTCCTAAAAGTTTCTTTCGTTTTATTAATAAATAATACATACACAATATTTTATGTCTAATGTTACATTATTGAATTGTGTACGATTCATTTTGCTCCATTACTGTTACAACATCAACATCTAAGAAATTAGATTGTCTATTTATATAAACACTACCGCACAAAATAATTCAGTGCAAATTACGAAAGAAACTTTTGGTACAACCTAATATATATTACATTCGACGTATTAAACATAGTTAGAAAGATGAATTGTTTAAAATGCATTACGATTACGTGTACCGATTCACTCAGAAGTTTTTTAATGTCTCTAACCACGGCTTGTGACAAAAGTAATCCACCTACGACGTTGTACCTAGGGTGAAAGAGATCAAGGTATCGAGTACAATGGCATGGCGTTACTAAATAATTTTTCCAATACGTAATCAGTTCAAAATGCATCGTTACTTGCGTAACACGAATTTGTATTACAACGTTACGCAATCGGCATACGAATGTGACCAGGTTCAACATACATTGCTAAAAACTTCACTGATTATCGTTAAATCAAGTCACACAAGAATGGTTTTATTTACGAATAATATTTATGAATATGAATCACAGTATTTATGATTTTTTTTCATAAATGATAAAAAAAATTAATAGCCAGAATGCCAAAACCTGAAAAGGCAGTTTAAACGATATGACTTGTACGTTCTGATTAGCATTTTAAATGTACCTTTGTCTTTGAGCACATTCCCAACAGATTACCATATCTCAATTTGCCATCACTTGATAAAAATCTGCAGTCTAGTAATTATAATAGAGTTAATAACCGTATCGATATTGTAATTAGCTGTATCAGTGAGACAAATGACACACTGATGAAATACACTGCAATGCTGGCGAAACGTCGCATCAGGGCGCTTTCTCAAAAGAACACGGCTTACACTTGGAAACTTCCAGCAGTTCTGCAGGAACGAATGCCGTGAAAGACTCGAGTGCCACGTGAAATATTACGATACTGGACAATATTCCAAATTAGACCTGTACGAGCACTCGATACGTTAATAGCTCGAAATTCGAGCTGACAAAAAGTCGGTTTGTCGAACCCTACTACATGCTCGGTCGTAGCAGTGATAGCTCGAGTAGCTTGACACTAATTCGAATAAGCGCGTCGCTGGGAATATTTAAGCTACTCGAAACGTCTGGAATGCCTGGTTCGAATATTCCAACCGATTTGTAGCTTTAGTATTCCAACTGGGACTATTATAATACTCGATTGGCATTAGAGTACTCGAATCACTTCAGAGGAATAAACTCTGCCATGAAACTAAAACTATCGACAGTTGGTGTAAAATGTATTCGTACACCGATCAATTTCTCAAAAAGTTTTGTGTGAAATTTTACCTTATTAACTTCTTCTTTTATAATCAATGATATTCTACATATTCTCCGAAATCTAGAATAAATATAGTCCAAACAATAGTTATTAGTTTATATAGTTTGCGGAATTAACAAGAAAATACGAAAAATCGGCAAAAACATAAAAGGAATACGTATTCGTACTGTTTTTATGACGAACCGTTTACAGTTGAGTTTGTAACATGAACACATCAGTTTATTGCTTCGTACGAATTAGAAAACATCAAATTTCCAGTAAGTAGAAAGAAAATCCCACTCCGAATAACATCAACATTTAGTTAATGTAAATTTCGTTATTTTATATAAATAACTAATTTTTTTTTGTATTTTGTCTATTCTAAAGATTTCCAAGAATACGTAGATTATTATTGGTAATGAAAAATAAGTTAATAAATTACAATTTCACGTAATTTTATGTGATATTACGTGAAATAATAACTGTATTTGTAGGATCATGTGTGAGACGTTAACGTACCTTTACCACTATTAATTATAATATATTAACCTCTTGATCTAACTTTTTTAGAAAAATAAATTACCTTTCAGTGGATGCATGCTAAGTGGATAATACATAACACATTTAATTCGAAGAACATTTTCACAATATTAAAGCTTATTTCTCCAAAAGAGGGCCTAGACTACTAGATAGAAATTCTAAGAAATCAAAATAAATTGTTTTTTTTTTTTCTGAAATTTTTGACAGAAAAGGATAACATTGGATTCCTTTGCATTCTCCTCTTGGGATTCTTCCTCGTAAACCTGAATTTTAATTCATCGCCAACGGTCACAATCTAAAATAGATCTTTTTTGTAAATTATTGAGGAAACAATGTTTTCCCCTCCTACTACTCCCACTGGTTTGTGGTTTTTTTACGAGCTACTCGTTCACTATACTCATCTTTTTGAGAGTTCTACGAAATGTTCATCTCTGATCCTCTAACTTGGAAACTTCCTTCATTCTTCGCAAAACGTTATTTTTATTCTAAAAAATATTCGTCAAATGATGACTTTTACATATTTCATACACAGTAGCAATTACTCGATAAGCTTTGCACCTTTTTTTCTTGGAAAACTGTATTATTCCTTTTTTCCTTAGAATTTGCATTTGTGACGTCTACGTCAGCGTTTCTCAATTTTTTAGTTAAATATAGGCGTTAGTAAGGCATAAAGAAACAAATTTGGAAAGGATGAACACACGTGTACTAATTTACTAAATTTACTAAATATTAAAATACTTGTAACATCAGCTCAACGTACAGAAAAATAAGGTACGGAAATTTGAGAAACACACCTTTCAACGAAACACGAAGTTCCAAACATTCTAATTCAAACTTTAATTTATACGTATATTCATAATTCGTCCACGCAAAGTGACCATCGTCCCCTCAAAATCAAATAGTCAAACAATCGCTCACTTTGAAGTGTTAATTGGACATTTGAGAAACAATGGTCTATCTTTACCCGCATCTTTTAGATATGTTTAACTTTATTAGCAACTTTAACGTCGCGGGTAAGCTGCCGCAAACAAGCTGTGTTTTGTTACGCAAATATGCGCAAGACACTCACGGTTTCCCATGGCGCGCAAACACGAAATTCGGAGGTAAGAAAAAAAATTCAGATACGACTTTTGGTGTGTGACGACAGTGCGAGGCACCTCAAAGTCTCAAAGTTTAACGCAGGATCACGAACGTGTATTGTGGTCGTGTGGATGCGTCAATAGAACCCCGACGGTGGGAGAAGTTGTTCCGGCCTCTCACGCAGCCAGGTATAAGGAACTCTGGTTGGTCACAGGTACGCTCAGTCTACCTTTCGTTAGTTGGCTCGTCTTAAAAGTGGCTGGCCCACATATCATCCCCTTAGTAATCTTCGACGCGTGTTGCCGTTCGCGTCTACCGGACACTACGGATAAACAGTCAGCCGCTCGATCACGGTCATTTAAAGCTCTTACCATCGACACGAGTCTCTTTAGAGTCGAAGTTTTTGGAACTTGCGCCGGTGAGTTTTCGCAATTTTGACAAGTACGTTTCTATCGAATACGGTGCGAACCTACAGTGTACAGTGTTTATCCTTCATGCTAGCTGGCTCGTAGATTCATCCCGATCCGGACAGACTTCAACAAAGTCAAATTTATTCAGGTGTTCGTGTTGTTTATGGTAGTCTATACAGAGTAGAACCTCCGTTATGTGAAATAATTAGGGAACAAGTGTTCAGATTAGAGAATTTTCACGTAATAAGGTAACAAGTGGTTAGCATTTAATTTTACATGCTTAATACTTGAGACAAAGTGAAGTAAAATTAATACAGTTTTATTGTTGGTAGCTTTGTACATAAAATAGAAAATGAAAACGGAACAGTATTATTCAATATTTCTTCTTTTTAAAGAAATTGAAGCAATTAATTCTATGGATCTCAAACTTTTTGGTAGTCATATAATTTTGTCAATAAAGCTAGTTGTATATTATTATATTCCTTTTAGACCTCGAGCCACCTAACATTTTTTAAAATGCTAAATATTTCTTAATACCGCATTTATGTCTTTTTTCAATATCGATAATTATTATACTTTATATTTTTGTCCTAAATTTATTGCACTTTCCTTGAACGTTCAAGTTGTTTAATTGTGTCTCTTTTTTCATTAATAGCCAATTACAAATTACGATATATCGTTGCACCTACTATGTCAGATTAATTTTGAATCATTGTGAATTGATTTCATCTCATAAGAAGTCCTATAGTAGTAAATAATTGCAGTTTGTGTAATAGAACGTTCACATTGTAGGTCATTCACATTATAGATCGTTCACGTAACAGAGGTTCTACTGTATTCATCTAAATCGTGGAACTATTTCGTTTTCTATACACAAATGAATCTTATGCGAGACACCAAACTCATTTTTTTTACACATTAATTTCGACAATTGTGACACAATCGCGTTGTGACTGCGCTGTGAGATTAAAAATTTAATCGTCAGTATCAAAGTTGTGTGGTATTATAATTGAAATAATCATAATAGCTCAATTATCCTTAGAATGTAAATGCACTGATGACGGAATCATAACTTATTGTCACATTTACTTGGCCCATCCTGTACGGTTCTTCATCAGCAAATGATACGAGTAAAATACACGCTTCGATTCGCTTGAATTGTACACATAGTGGAACGTGCTACTTTGCAAACTCTTGATCCGATAATCGTGTCCGGGCAGTACCTTGCTTTCTCGAAGTGTTTTGCTTACGTTCAGAGATGTAAGCTCCCCAAGCAGCTTTCATTTTGTGTTTAGCTTTCTGTTTTCATCGTATGCTTACGTTTTCGTTTCTTTTTTTTCGGAAATATTAAGTTTAATTGTTTTTAAATTAAATTCAGTATCGATAGAATCATGCGCTGTAGAATTTTCACCGTACAAATAGAATACGCAATTGAATTAAATCGTTGGAAAGAAGATAAGGTTCTAATCGTTTCCCAAATATGAATAGCAACATTCTAGGACAATTTTCAATAAGCCTAGATACTAGCCACAGATTCTAGTGCGTAGCATAAGAAAAGCAATTTATTGCGTCGATCAAGGAGGGACACCACATTAGGAGGCCAAACATTAAATGTTTTTCGAGATTTCTTTGACAGAGTGGAATTTATTTAATTTGGGTTCACCTTTGAGAATATTTCGAGTATATTTCAAAATATGTTTGGTAATTTTTTTCAATTTATTTCACACAGAAATCTTTGGAGGTAACAGTTGTTGCTTAAAATTAGTGAAATTTTTTATTTATAAAAATAAGTAAAAATAAATTAATCATATATATAAATGAATTCTTCTCTGTGATAAAGTATCTCGAGAAACACTTAGTGCTTGGTCTCTTATTGTGGTTTCCTCCCTTCAGTATTCTGTGTTGAAAGTGCTCGTAACATACTTTTGCCTAATTAGTAAATTCTGTTTCGCGACTTCTTGATTTGTTCCTGTAAGGAACGATAACTTGGAGTCCCATAAATTCACGGTGCACAGTTATTCGTTACGTTAAAGCTTTTAGATTCATTCGCCAGTCTTTAAGCAATACCTTTAACGTTTTCCTCTCGACTATCTCAATTGATCGAAACACTTCAACTGTGCTCATCAACGTATTCTTTTGTTTGTTCGTTCCGCATGTCCAGGCTGAACCTCGGAACCAATCGACGATTGCCACGGAATGGGTAAGCCAAAAATTCAAACAAATTATATACCAGTCGTGCGCCGCGTCCGCAGTTATAATCACGTTATTGATTAAATTACGAACCAAACGTGATTCGTCATTGTTGAACATCGTGTCCACTTGAACGTCATTTCTAAACGAAAGCAAACGAAATAAGAGTACGCAAGATTTATCGTTGTCCTCGAAACTGGCGTCGGCAAGTGTTCGAACAATAGAGAGCCTGCGTTTACTCGTTTAGACCAGTTACACTTGCGACCAGGAACATCGCTCAATTGTGACATGACTGTGTTTTTTTTTGTTTTTTTTTTTTGGTGTTTTTTTTGTTTTTTTTTTTTATGATACTTTGCAAGTAGACACAGCATTAAACGCTATTAGGCATGCATTCTGTTACCAATTCAAATTCATGTTAAAACTACCCTCAAAGTTGGGGGTGATATATTTATCTAAATATCTCAGATACTGACTAACATGGCAACATATCCAACTGTCCGTTTCCGACTTTGATGAAACTTGGTGGGTACATTAAGCAGATGAAAATAAGGGATACGTAGTTTTTTATAGTTGCCCAATCGCAAGTTTAGGGGTTGAAATCATCCCTTGAAGTTTCAGCAGAAAAATGCTATCTCGAAAATTACAAGAGATATAAGAAATCTTCTTAGGGAAAAGTTTCATGGTTTCGTGAGGTAAAACCAAAAGTGGTCACAGATTTTGTAAAATGTAATTTGTTTATAACAGAAAAATCTTTTGTTACATTATTTTAAGAGATACAAAAATTTCTATAACGACAAAAATGAACGGAAATTGCTTTCCGAATCCATTGATATATAATACGATACATTTGCCTCCTACAATTTTGTAAATTTTCGTATAATATTGTACGCAGGCCGCGCGAATCCACCGAGCAGCGGCCGCATGTGAAATGCATATGTTCGTGTATAGACATACGGGTGGCTATTAGTATGAGATACATATTTATTAAAAATTACACGATTATTTAAAATTAACAATAATAATGTTAATTATTTTTCTATGCATTTCAGTATGATATTGTTAGGAAATAATTTAATGCTTGAAAATTAATATCTATTAATAACAATATTCTGACACCGCGCACAAGTTATGATGCCAACATTTCTACAAAACCGTATTACCACAAATTGATATTTTATGCCCGTACGATATTTTTTTTACTTTGCAATGAATTATTTCCTAACAATATCATAATGCAACGTATATAGACATATAATTAGCATTATTATTGTTAATTTTAAATGATCGTGTAATTTTTAATAAATATATATCTCATACTAATAATCACCTGTATGTCTATACATGAACATATGCATTTCACGTGTGGCCGCTGCTCGGTGGATTCGCGCGGCCTGCGTACAATATTATACGAAAATTTACAAAACTGTAGGAGGCAAATGTATAGTATTATATATCAATGGATTCGGAAAGTAATTTCCGTTCATTTTTGTCGTTATAGAAATTTTTGTATCTCTTAAAATAATGTAACAAAAGATTTTTCTGTTATAAAAAAATTATATTTTACAAAATCTGTGACCACTTTAGGTTTTACCTCACGAAAACAAGAAACTTTTCCCTAAGAAGATTTCTTATATCTATTGTACTTTTCGAGATAGCATTTTTTTGCTGAAACTTCAAGGGATGATTTCAACCCCTAAACTTGCGATTGGGCAGCTATAAAACACTACGTATCTCTTATTTTCACCTGCTTAATGTACCCACCAAGTTTCATCAAAATCGGAGACGGACAGTTCGATATGTTCCCTTGTAAGGTAGAAGAGAATGTTTAACGTGTAAGCAGAGTTTAACCTCTTCAGGGACGATTTTTCTTTACGCTTTTCTAACATCTCTAACTGTACATCTCTTGTTGAAGAATTCTGTAGTGAATAAGTTATCATCAAATTTTTGTTCTTTTTATTATTGACAGAAATAATAATTATAAGAAAAATTAAACGTCCACATATGTGGGCAAGGGCGTGCAGAGGTTAATCTTTTTTGTAAGTAATAACTAAAATGCGGATAATTATGCATTTATGGCGTACAGTAATATAAAAAACATACATAAAATATACATTATAAACAAAAAAATTTTCATAAATATTCGTAGTCTAATGATTACAAACAATTGATGAGAGAGTAGATTAACGTAGACTCTATTGGCCAGAATAAGTCAATCACTGGAGAAACGACATTTCGATATAAACCCAACCTAATAAATAGAATAACATAGAAGTCCGTAATACAGTTACGGACTTAACGCAGACCAATCTCATGAATTTCTAATCTTCTTATAGTACGTACGCACTCTTTCAACTCCGTGCAGCACGATTCTCGTACTTGAACGGAAATCTCCTGAAACGGGATGGATTAACGTAACGTGCATTTAGGGGGAATAAGAAGTTCGCATGAATTTAATCCTCAGTAACGGTTTGAATCGTGTAATCGGTGGTTAAAGAGGAAATTTCATCGTGTCTCGTGGCAGTTCTGGCTTGATGACGGTGGTCGCCGGCCTTTCTTAGGGTCATCGACCACGACGTTGATCCAGCCTCCAGACATGGGCAAAATTCTTGCCTAAACAAATTTCGTGTCACAAATGTGAGATCAGAATTTGAACTATCGAATGGAATTTTACGATGAAGAAATAAAAAATTGGAACTTGAATCATTCGTAGAAAAAAAGTTTTTCAAACGTTTATTTTGATTACATTCAACGTGTACAAAATTTCACGATTAAAAGTAAATAAAAACAATATAATCTTGTCTTAATTAAGATATAAATAAGAAATATTTTTTATTTGTAAATCAACGTTGTTCTATTACTTAAAGAAATATACATTAAACACAAAATTTTGTAAAATTCATCATTGAATTTTCTTCTGCATAGAATTTACGACTACGCATCAAAGTTGATGCCCTCGTCGTGTATGCACAATATACGCAATCATGTAGTATATAGTATATATACTATATATCTATATATATCTAGTATCTAGTATATGTATATCACAAATGTATCAATCAGGCAGATAAAAGTGTGACCAGCCACGTGGAACCACTTATTTAAGACTGTTATAAAAAGTACATGCCTAATGACGAAACCAATTGAAACGAAAAAATCAAGTTTTGTAATCCACATTAGTGTCGCCATCGTGCCGGGATTTTATTGAAAGCAAAAATACTTGTCTAGGGCATCTAGCGTAATGTATTATTTCCTTGGACGCAGTCATAAATTAAACGCTAAATTAACGACAAGAACTTCCGTATCATTAAATGGTACAATGTAGTAACGAACACAGCAAGGTATTACCGATAAATTTTTTTAATTCCACGGAACGCGTTACGAATTAACAACATGTCACTCACAATATGTTGATTTTATTATCAATCTTTTTCTCATTTTAAAGTCCATTCGATTCAATTGAGGTACATTTATCAAAAGCATTAGGGATTCTGATCGAGTATCGAAGACAAATATTTTTCTAGATTTTTTGAAATATTCATATTCTCGTAGTACAATCGCCATATTTTTTCTGTGAACTCTTAGCAATGCTAATTTATTTCGGTTCGAATATTATCGAACCACTGTGAAATAATTTCAGAAAATAAAGCGAACAGCAAGGTTTCCCCTTCAATTATCAATTAGGAGCTATTTCTGTACAAAAATGAGTAAAGCGTTCTATTATTAAAGAATTTTAAATTCGCTCCGTGGCACTATAGTGTGAAACTTCCAATCAAATTTGTGTTAAATGAAAAGTTAATACCATGGTTATATAGAACAGTTTGACGAACAATGTTGAACCACCGTCTGGTGTAATATCTTCTGCCAATCAGTTTTTCGTCTTCCATTTCGCAGTTTAAAATGAAATTTCCGATGAATCGATTCGTCTTAAGAAAGCAAAATTCTATTCCTTGTGTCAACGACGAATGTTGGAGACAAATTGGCGATAGGACGACAGGATGCGGTCAGTCAAATGTCAATTCAAACACGCTGTTAACGAAAGTATTCGTATGTTAATGAAAAAGCGCTATTAGAATGACCTCGAGGCAAACAAATGGACGAAAAGTGTTAACGAAACTAACGGCCGTATTGACAATGTCCGAAACGAAAAGAAAAATCAACGGAAACGTTGGCGACGTAAAAAAGGATCTAACAGAGTACACGAATTATTTCTACGGGCACTGTTTCCAAGTCTCCGTGTAAACAGACCTTATTTGCAGAACATTACACTCTTCTCGGAAGATTTCTCGTGCGCATGCCTTACGAGTATTTCCCCCATGGTCTTTTTCATTCTTTACGTTTGATGTTATCCGAAATTTGCGTCAGAAAACAAACCTTTTTGCAAGTACGATGAATATCGATAGTTCTTTTTTCTTTGATGATATATATGTTTACCTTTGAATAATTTTACAATTAGTAATAGAGTATCCCGAAGTAGCGGATTACGAAACAAGCAAACGACAGAAAAACTGGTATTTTTCAATTGAAATGCAGACGTTTGACGTTTAATCTTCTATTCCTGCGCACTAAATAAACAGAACTTTGATTTGTCAACCATTGCTCATGCCAGTCTGTACAAAAATTGATTCTATTATTCGATAATCCTATTATCCTTACGATGCTAAATTGTTGTAAATTTGTCATTGAAATTGAACATTGTTTGTAAATATTCTAACGTTATATGTCGTTAAATCATTACGGAAGAGTATTATATTGGAACACCTTTGTCTTCGTCAATCAAATTTACAAACAAAGGGCAATAATTGATTGAGACTAATTGAACTTTTCCTTAATTATTGGCTCGTGTGCAAAGTTCGTGACCCAGACCATTTGATTAGCATTCCGTTTATTCAACATTCGAATACAGGTCGAACGATTTACATGCGTATCGTATCGTGACGTAAGAATTTTTTTACAGTTTTGGAGATTGATTTTGCAATTTTGCCGAGTACAATTCCCGTGGCCATAACTGAA